TCCTGTGGGCCGCGGTCACCGACTCATCTCCGTCCCAGGGACTGGAGGGCCGCTGGGAGGGACCCAGAGCATTGCAGGGATTGAGGACCCCCAAGCGCTGACCCTGGGAGGCCAGAACGAGGAGCGAGAGTCTTGCAGGCAGGAAGAGTTCCGGGCAGCCCGGGGAATCCCAGGTCTGGCTCAGACACTGTCCCCACCGCCAGGCCGCCATGGTCCTTGGCTGGCTGCTGTTGGTGGTGACAGCTCTGTCACCGGGTGTGACGGGCGCCAAGGACTGCATCTTCTGTGAGCTGACCGACTCCACACACTGCCCTGGCACCAACATGCGCTGTGGGGACAACGAGGACTGCTTCACGGGCCACGGGGTGGCCCCGGGCACCGGCCCGATCATCAACAAAGGCTGCGTGGTGGCCACCAGCTGCGGCCGCGAGGAGCCCATCAGCTACAAGGGCGTCACCTACAGCCTGGTCACCACCTGCTGCAACGGCCCCCTGTGCAACCATGCCCCCGCAGGCCGACGGATGGCAAGGACCGCCACTGGCCTGGTGCTGGGGCTGGGCTTGCTGCTTCCTGCGCGTCCCCTGTGACCTATGGGGAGGGCAGGGCCTGGGCCTGGGCTCCCAGCTCCGCCCCTCCCCGCGCCCCACCCCTCCCCTCACTCAATGGCCAGGGCACCAGACACGTCTCGCGGCCTTGGCCTCACCCATGCTGGGGCCCTCCACCAGGAGCCTGATGCTCACAAGGTCTCCTCGGGCCTGACTGAGCTGCGGGGGACATGGTCAGTGGCTTCGCTTGTCCTGCTGTATTTTCTGGGTTCTAAGAGGCAAGCTTTTCACATCCCCATAGGAGGGTGCTTCTTCCCATGGGCGGCACCCTAGAGTGGATGAAATATGGTGGAAAAAATATATATATTATAATAATAAATGACAGCTGACATTTGTGGCATGCTTCTTTTTCGTTTTGGTTTCTGTTTGTTTTCTTGAGTCGAGGAGGTCTCACTCTGTCACCCAAGCTGGAGTGCAGTGGCATGATCATGGCCACCGTAGCCTTAACTTCAAGGGCTCAGGTGCTCCTCTGGTCTCAGTCTCCTGAGTAGCTGGGACAACAGGTGCGTGCCACCACACCTGGTAAATTTTGTGATTTTTTTTTTGTAGAGATGACGTCTTGCTACACTGCCCAGGCTGGTCTTGAACTCCTGGCCTCAAGCGATCCTCCGGCCTCAGCCTCCCAAAGTGCTGGGATAACAGGTGTGAGTCACCCCACCCTGCCTGTTTCCTTCCTCTGAATTATCTAGCTTGAACACTGTGCTTCAACTGGTCATCTGGGTGATTCTGGTGCACACACAAAGCCAGAAGCCACTGTCCTGGAGCGATGTTTCTCAGCTGGGGACTCCTGCCGCCCAGGGGCCATCTGGCAATGTCTGGAGACTTTTCTGACTGTCCTAAGTGGCAGGGAGGGGCCAGGGTGGGGGTGCGGGGTGTGTGAAGCTACCGACATCTGCCGGGCTGAGGCGGAAGACACAGCCTCGCGTCCGACAATGCGCACAACAGCCCCCCACAACAGGGAATCATCCAGCCTCAATGTGTGGGCTGGAACTGCATCAGCCCTTTCTGTAGGGGGGAAACCGAGGCACAGAGAGGTGAAGTAAGTTGCCCAAAGCCACACAGCCAGGAACTGGCAGAGGTAGGATTTGTTTTTTTTTGTTGTTTTTTTTTGTTTTTTTGTTTTGAGTTGGAGTCTCACTCTGTCGCCCAGACTGGAGTGCAGTGGCCACTCCCAGCCACTGCAGCCTCGACCTGCTGGGCTCCGGCGATCCTTCCGCCTCAGCCTTCTGAGTAGCCAGAATTACTGGCATGTGCTACCACGCCCGGCTGATTTTTGATTTATTGTAGAGATGAGGTCTCGCCAAGTTGCCCAGGCGGGTCTCGAACCCTCGGGCTCAGGCAATCCACTCACCTCGGCCTCCCAGAGGGATTACAGGCTGAGCCACCGAGCCTGGCCAGAGGTAGGATTTGAATCCAGGTTGCCTGGCCCCAGAGTCCACAACCCACTCCTCTCTCGACTGCCACAACCTTCCCCTCCTCTTCCTCTTCCCCCTCCTCTTCTGCCCTATGAGGTAGGTGCCGTTACTATTTGCCCTCTCCAGATGGGGAAACTGAGACTCAGGAAGCACCGGCCCAGTTGTCAGAGAACTAAAAAGTGGCTGAGTCAGGATGCAGGATCAGCTGGACTCCAAAGGAAGGAAAGGGGAGACATAAGCCCATCTGTGGGCCGGGCCAGGCACACACCAGCTCTCGTTTCTTCACAGCCACCCAAGGAGGCAGAGTTACCCAGGCCTGAGCTCGGATTCCAATCCACGTCCTCCTGGTTTTAAAGCCCTCCCACCCCAAACTGTGGGCACAGTTTTCCAGGTGAAAAAAACACAAGAGCCAGGCATGGTGACTCACACCTGTCATCCCAGCACTTTGGGAAGCAAAGGCAAGAGGACTGCCTGAGGCCAGGGGTTCGAGACCAGCCTGGGCAACATGGCGAGGCCTCATCTCTACAATAAATCAAAAAATGAGTCGTGTGTGGTGGCACACACCTGTGGTACCAGCTACTTGGAAGGCTGAGGTGGAAGGGTCACCTGAGCCCAGTAGGTTGAGGCTGCAGTGGCCGTGAGCGTACCACTGCACTCCTGCCTGGCGACAGAGTGAGACTCCAACTCAAAAAAAAAAGAAAAGAAAAAACACAGGAGAAAAGAGAAAGAGACTTACCCAAGGCCACTAAGCAGGCCCTGGCATCCACCAGTGGGTATTTTAGACCCATTTGACAGATGAGGAAATAGAGGCCTGGAAAGCCAGATGTCTTCTGAGCACACTGAGGGAGAGCTGGGCCCGGGACACCGGGAAGTGGGGGTAGGGTGGGGGCTGTACCTGTAGGATCCCGAGATGACCCTGTCACCGTCAAGCAGCACAAACTTCTCCCGCACCTGGCCGCTCACCTGCCGGCGCCAGCGGCTCTGGAAACTGCAGCCCCGTACGACGCGGACGTCCAGGTTCTGGTGGAGGAAGGGAGGGCACGCCCTGGCTGAGTGAGGCCCACCCCATGGATTCGGGGGCCCTCCAGACGGGTTCTGCCTGGGTGACCCCTGACTCTGTAGCTGTGTCTGTCCCAGCTTCCCCAGAGCCACTGATATGGAGCCTCGGGCGTCCCTTGGGGAGACCCCAAAGTCTGGGGCTCAGGGCCCCCTGGGAAAGTCCACCCCGGCCTTCCCCATGCTGTGGAAGTCGGCTCCCAGGGAACTCTCTCAGCAGCATCCGTCTGGATGACCCAGGACTCTATGGATGAGGCTGCCCCCTACACACCAGGGGAATGGGGTCCCACGGGCCCCTCTGGCCCAGCCTCCTACCTCTGTGGCCCAGGGGTTCACCCCCAGCTGCCGGGCCAGCGCCAGGAAGGCGGGTAGGTGCTGGCAGTCCAAAAGCAGGTAGACAGGCACCCAGCGGCGCGTGGCGGCGTCCACCAAGTCCGAGAGCAGGTCTGGGTCGGTGAAGATGTCCATGACCACGGCCACCATCTGGGGTGGGGAGGGGGATGTGGACATGGGAACGGAGCCTGGCTCAGGGGTACTGAGGGCGCAGGGGACCTGACATCCAGGACCTGGGGAAGAGGTGCTCTGGGGGCTGGGAGTTTAATGTTCAGGGGGGCTGAAGGGGAGCCCCCCACTCGACATACACCACTGCAGCCCCTTCTTGGCTGCAGTTCCCAATTGCTGGAAAATTGTCATCACAAATCTCAGGCCTCACATGGTGACTGATACCTGTAATCCCAGCACTTTGGGAGGCTGAGGTGGGAGGATTGCTTGAGGCTAGGAGTTTGAGCCCAGCCTGGGCAACATAGCAACCTCGTCTCCAAAAAATGAGCTGGGCACGGTGGTGCAGACCTGTAGTCCCAGGTACTTGGGAGGCTGAGTTAGGGGGATTGCCTACAGTGAGCCGTGATCTTACCACTGCACTGCAGCCTGGGTAACAGAGTGAGACTCAAAAACACCCAGACAAACAAACAAACAAACAAACAAATCTCATGTCTGCAACGGGGAAGGTGGCCCCTGAGCTGTGATACCACAGTGCCCAAGTGTTCCGTGGCAGCCTGCCTCCAAGGTCGGGGTGGATGTCTTTGTAGGGCACTGTGGGTAACTTCCAGGTCCTCGGGAATGTCCGGGGTGACAGAGCACGGGGCTGACCTGCTTGGCCACTGAGGAGAGCTCTGGGGACCCACCTGGAGGTGCTGAGGGCCCAGGTCTTGCAAGTAGGATGAGGTAGTGGTCACAAGCTCCTACTCACTCACCAGATGGCCTGGGTTCAAATCCCCATTTGGCCACTTACAGGCAAAAGATGGAACCACTCCATGCCTCAGTCAGTCCATCTCCTCAATGGGTATAATAGGCCCTTCCTCGCAGGGATCTCAAAAGATTATGCACATTCAGTCTTTTTTTCTCCTCCTTCTGCCTTTTCTTTCTGTTTTTCTGTTTTTGTTTTTGTTTTGAGTCAGAGTCTCACTCTATCACCCAGGCTCACAGCCACCGCAGCCTTGACCTGCTAGGCTCAGGCAATCCTTCTGCCTAAACCTTCTAAGTGACTGGGGTTACAGGTGCATGCCACCACGCCTAGTTAATATTTTTTTATATACTGTAGAGACGAGGCCTCACTATGTTGCCCAGGCTGGTCTTGAACCTCTGAGCTCAGGCAATCCTCTCACCTCGGCCTCCATAAGTACTGGGATTGCAGGCATGAGCCACCAATTCTTTTCTTTTTATTTTGAGTCAGGGTCTCACTCTGTGGCCCAAGCTGGAGTGCAGTGGCACAATCACAGCTACCGCAGCCTTGATCTGGGGGGCTCAGGTGATCCTCCCACCTCAGCTTCCCCAGTAGCTAGGACTAGAGGCACATGCCACCACGCTTGTATATTTTTTTTTAGTCCTAGAGATAGGACTCACTATGTTGCCCAGACTAGTCTCAAATTCCTGGCCTTAAGTGATCCTCCTGCCTCGGCCTCCCAAAGTGCTGGATCACAGGCATGAGCTACTGCGCCCAGACGACACATTAACCCTTGCAAAGCGCTTCTCATGGGAGCTGGGGGACACAGGCTGGGAAGCAAAGAATGGGCTTTCCAGGGGGTTCAGGGGAGACACCTAGGTCCTCCCCGCACGGAGGTTGGAGCCCCCTGGCCTGGTGATGGTGGTAGGGAGAGAAATGGAGTGGATAACTGAGAGGGCAGGGGCTCCTCATTAGGTTCAAGGTCACGGTCACCGAAGGCATCAGATCTTGGGGAGAGGGCAGGGATCCCAGGTCTGAGAGGGTGAGGATGAGGTCTGGGGTATGGACTCCCAGACTGCAGGGGTCTGGGTCCTTGGGACGTGGACTCTTGGGTCCTGGAGGGGAGCGGTGTGGACTTGCAAGTCCAGAGAGGGAAAGGGTCCAGGCATGGCAAGACCTACCTTGTGGGCGACCTGGATCTCATGGCGCACCAGTTCCTTGAGGGGCGGCTGGCCCTCTCCGGGGGGTTGGGTGTACAGCTGTGCCCGCGTGATGCCCTTCCAGGCTGAGTCCACCGGCCAGCCCAGTTGCAGGGGGGGCGCCGGCCGCTCTGACTGCCCGGGCCAGTAGGTCAAGCTGCTCCTGTCCCCATCAGCGGTGGCGCCCTCGGCTGTCCCACCAGGCTCTTGCTTGGCCACTGTCCAGTCTTCGGCGGCCGCTGCCAAGTTCCGGACCTCATCCGTGCTCAGAAAGGGCCGCAGCCCCTCGCGCTGCACACAGGCCTGGAACGCCTCTGCGCCCTTGCTCAGTAGGGCCTCCAGCGCCAGCCGCTGACCCTCGGAGTACAGAAAGCTGGGGCTGGCCTCGGTCAGCGGCAGCACCCCGGCCCCGGGCTCCACGCCGTCCAGCACTGCTAGCTGGGAGGCTGCCATTGGGCCACTCAGGTGACAGGACTGACCGCGAGAGGCTGGGTCCCTGAGGGTCTGGTCCTCTTTGGGGGACTGACCATCTGGGGGGGGTCTCCTGACAAGCAGATGCTATAGGGCCAGGGTGACCCTGCTAAAGTCCAAACGGGCTGGGCACGGTGGCTCACACTTATAACCCCAGGACTTTGGGAGGTCGAGGGAGGAGGATTGCTCGAGCCCAGGAGTTTGAGACCAGCCTGAGCAACATAGTGAGAACTTGTCACTACAAAAAAGAAAAAAAACACTTTTTAATTAAAAAAAAAAAAAGTCCTGCCAGGCACAGTGGCTCACACCTGTAATTCCAGCACTTTAGGAAGCAGAGGTGAGAGGATTGTCTGAGCCCAGGGGTTCAAGACCAGCCTAGGCAACTTGGTGAGACCTTATCTCTACAACAAATCAAAAAATTAGCTGGACGTGTTGGTGCATGCCTGTAGTTCCAGCTACTTGGAAGGCTGAGGCGAAAAGATTGCCTGAACCCAGTAGGTCAAGGCTGCAAGGGCCGTGAGCGTGCCACTGCACTCCAGCCTGGGCAACAGAGTGAGACTCCGACTCAAAAAAAAAAAAAAAAAGCCCAAATGGCTTTCTGTAGCTGTCCTTGATTCCCTACCCTGGCAATCAGACCGTTCAAATGACTGAGACCCACCCACTGCCTGCCTTCAGCTAGCACCAGGCCTGTCCCATCTCTGTCCTTCCCAGCGGCTATCTCTGCTGGTTAGGCTGACCTCCCCACAGTGCCTCTGACTGTGTGACCCACCAGCTGGCCACCTCTGCTCCACCACATGACAGCCTCCAGCCTGCTGGTCCCACGATGCCCCACCAGACCCCTTCAGCTGTCCAGAGCTTGGTCAGGCTGACCACTCACCCACCCACCCTGGCCTTTGCTGACTGCCTGATCCTGGGCAACAGGCTGTCCACCTGCCTCTGACCACTGAGATGCCTTCAGCTAATGGCACAGCAGGCCAATAGCACGACTGACCCCCTTTCGCACTGACACAAACACTGATCGCTTCCGACTGACGGCTTCAATATCTGACCGCTTGGCGGAGCAACCCCGCTGTCTCCGGCTGACTCTGCCCAGGTGATTTATTCCCGTACACAAGCGGCTCACAGCCCTTGCAGGCTGTCCACCTGAGACGACTCTCTCGGCCACCTGCTCTCAGCCCTGGAGGAACACACTTCAGCCCCTCCCCCACCCTCTGCTCCCTGGACCCTCGTACCCAGAGGCTGCTGCGGTGGAAGGTGGAGGAGTGATGTGCCCTAAAGGGGTTTCCGGTTTGTGTGAAACTGATCTCTGATCCCAACAACCCATCTAGGTTTGAGGGCCAACTAACCAGCCAGTTCCTCAGGCTGGCTGCTCGCCCCACCCCGGGGCCAGGCCTTCGGAGCACTGGCTAAGCTGACCCAGCCGGGTTTCTGCCTGAATCCTGTTGTCTCCTGACAAGCGACCAGCCACTTCTTCCTGGACAGGGGCCCCTCTACATCCTATCCGTCTTTCTCCCGAGCCCCAGTTGCCCCTTTGAGTCTCCCAAGCCGACCTCTGGCACCCTGAACCCAGGCAGTGCCTTCCTCCAGAACCCAGCAAGGCACCCTGAACCCAGGCAGTGCCTTCCTCCAGAACACAGCAAGGCACCCTGAACCCAGGCAGTGCCTTCCTCCAGAACACAGCAAGGCACCCTGCAGAGAGAAGGGGAGTCAGGCCAGGCTGCCCCGTCCCGCATCAGCCCCCACCAGTCCTGTGCCCGGGCCTCTATGGCCTCCCTCCATCGCTTGCCTTTTCAGAGGACGGTGAGCACAGGGGCCGCAGATCTCCGACTCCTACTTCTGCAGTTCTTCCAGGCCACCGCCTCATTCATCAGGCCCCAGCCTGGGATCCGGAAAACCCAGCCCCTTACGCAAACATGGGGAGGGCCATCGCAGGTCGCCGGGATCATGCACCCACAGGGCGCTTGCCAAGAAGCCAACAGCAGCCAGACTCTGGCTGCCCCGGGAAGGGGGCCGCACCCCACCTGTTCCCACGCAGTCCTTCCCTCGGCGCAGTTCCACCTGTCTGCACTTCCCTGTCCAGACCCCGCCTGCCTTCCCTAGAGCCAGCAGGTTTCAAGGAAGGGCGGGCGTGGCTAATCCAAGAAGAAAGGTGTGGAAACACCTGACATCTGGCTCAGAGAAAGGAGGAGGGGCTCCAGCCCTGGTGGGGGAGGATCCCCCAGGTTCAGGGAGGCTCAAAGCTGCTTCCAAGCCCAAGCCAGTGGCGCCTCAGAGTCCCCCTAGTTGTGGCGCAGCAGGAGGGGAGCACCCCTCCCAGAGGCTGGCCTGCACAGGGGCGGGATCCAAATGCCCAAACCAAACGTATTCTCCCCCCACACCCCCATCCCCAGTAACACACAGAGGACGGTCCGAAATCTTTTTAATGAGGGCATCCAAAATCTTTTTAATAAGAGGGCAGGATCCAGGGTTAGTTTTTGTAGCCGCGGCTGGCCCGCCGGCCTCTGGCACGCTCAAACTTCTGGCCCTTGGAGCGGACATAGGGTCTGTGGGGAGAGAGGGGAACATGAGAAGGGAATTCTCTTGCAGAGGAAGTCAGGCCCCCGAGGCAACAAATGACAGGAAGCCCACCCCAAGACTAGGAGGGTTCCCACTGAACAGAAGAGCCTGAGTAACATGCCGGCCCCAAGCCCCCCCAAGAGCCTACATTTTGAATATTATCTGATGGGGAGCTCAACACCGTGGAAAACACAGCTTTAAGCTGATTTCTGAACAAGAAGTGGGCAACACAAGGCAGTTGGGCCTTCTAGGTGGCCCAAGGCCGCATGGTGCGAGCCACAGGAGCAGCAGCAAAACCTGGCAGAGCCCTGGCAGATACTCACTTGGTGTGGCTGTGCGGGGTTCCCGGGGCCTTGCCAAAATGCCTGTACACCTCCCGGCCCTTGCGAGGACCTGGGGAGGAAAAAGGTCAAGCGAACCAATCTGACAGGGACTAGGCATGTGGCTTCTGCCTCCCAGACCCTCTGGGAAAGGCTGCCAGCAGTTGACACCCAGCTCACTCCAGCACCCCTGATGGAGCCACTAAGCATCACTCACCAGAGAGCAGGACAGTGCCGTGGCCCTTGGGGGAGTCCAGGGCCAGCTGGTCGAAGGTGAGGATCTTGCCCCCCGCCTTGAGGATGCGGCTGCGGGCCCGGCTGCTCACCCGCAGTGCACATACCTGGGGAAGATCGGGAGGATCAAAGCAACTGCGTGGCCACCCATGGGCCGCTGCAACTTACCACTCACTGCCTTGGCCCAAAGGGCCCAGCGTTTTGCCAGGCCTAATGATTAACACGGTCATCTATTCTAAGTTGGCAGCAACGGCCCAACTCTTTAGCTCTAAAAGCTCCTTTAAGACCACACGCTCCCCTTGACCTGGCACTTCCCAGCCTCCAGAATCGTAAGAAATTCCTTTACAAATTAAAAGAAAAAGACCACATGCTATGTGTTATCTGGTAAAAGGAAACTGGGGCAAAAAGACCGAGGACTTGTCCAGAGCTGACAAAGAAACCTAGAGTTAAGACCAGGGTGACCGGCTCAAAAGCCTGCGCCGTCAAGTTTACTACAAGGCCGGAGAAGGGGCTTGGCCCGGGACCCAGTCAATGCCAGTGATGACCTACATCCATGCCTAAAAGCCACCAGACAGGCATGAGGCAAAAGAGGCTGGGACGGACCATGAACCACGTCACGGCAAGGACCCAAGCCGTGCCTACAGGACACCCGCCCTAGGCCTTGACCTCCCACCCACTCACCTTCAGTTTGGGCACCTCCTGAATCCGCACATCATCTGTGATGGTCCCCACAACCACCGCCGTCTTGTTTTCCCGGCCAGGAAGCTTCATCTTCCGGATCTAGGTGGGGGGCGAGGCACATCATAAGTCCTTCTGGCATTTAAACCCAATTCCTTGCCTCAGGCACCCCCAGGACCAGGACGGCCACAACAGGCCACCTCAGGTCCAGCTCAGGACACCTCCAGAAGGAAGATGCAGGCACAGAACAAGCAAGAGATCTCTCCAAGCGAGGGCTTTTGCCACACAGAACTCGTGTTCTGACCTGAGAACCCGAAGCCTCAGGACAGCATCACCAAGCCACTGGCACAGCCCTACGCCCCAGCCCACCAGGTATGAGGCCCAGAAACTAGGCCAGCGACCCACACACCTCAGTTTCAGCCAAGGGCTAGAGCCACCACGGGCAGACAGGACCCCAGGGGTCTCCAGGTCCACTGTGCTCCCTGGACCAGTCACTCACCATCCGGGAAAGGGACAGAGGTGGCCGGTTGCTGCGACTCATAAACAACCTCTTCAGTACAACCTGGTTGAAGGTGGAGTTGGTTCTTCTGGCCAGAAACCTGTACAGCTGAGGGGCGAGAAGCCTGAGAACCTGGGACAGCCTCTCCCCAGCTTTCTAATGATGGCTTGGCCTGGGATTCCTATGGCTCTCCCCACCTTCCACCGGACTCAGGGAGAGCAGGCAGAGGACCCAGAACCTGCCCCCACCCCGCACCTCTTACCAGAGGCTAAAACCACAGAAGCTCTGGGATAGGCCCAGGGATGGGACCTGGTACCAGCACTTGATGAAAGACCTAAAAGCCACGGATCTGGAGCACTCCTACCCGGAGATCCCAGGCCTTGACCTCACCTTGACCAACAGCCTCAGGTAAATGTCCTGGCTCTTGGGTTCTTTGCGCCGAACCTTTCGGTCCTTGTTGTGGCGGATGTCGACTCCCTGTGTGGGTGAAGAAATGACTATGAACCCAATTCTGAACCTGGCTAGTTACCCCACAAACATTCTCAATTGTTCCGAGACTGAGCTGGGTGCCAGGCTCTGGACACACCAGCTCAAATCCTAGCCCCACCACTGGGAGACCCCAGAGCTGCCGCTGATGCCCCCTTAAAAGAGGGCTACATAGAAAGTTTTAGCAAACGGCACTGAGTGTCTCCACACCTTAACACAGCAACCATGTGAACTTAATACACACATTGTATTTTACAAAGATACAGTACTAAGTTCTCAAAACAGGCCTTCATACCTTTATGGCATTAAAACCAAGGGCAGCTGGGCGCAGTGGCTCATGCCGGTAAACCCAGCACTTTGGGAAGCAAAGCAACGTCACAAGGCAGACAGAGATCTGAGACTCGGATGCCCGCCTGGCCCCCAAACCCAGTCATTTGATTACCCACACTCCCCGACCCCAACCAGAGAGCGTCAGGTCACCGTAAACCCAGCACTTTGGGAGGCGGAGGCGAGAGGACTGCCTGTGCCCAGGGGTTTGAAACCGGCCTGGGCAACTTGGTGAGATCTCATCTTTACAATAAGTCAAAAAATTAGTCAGACGTGGTGGTGTGCGCCTGTGGTTCCAGCTACTTGGAAGACTAAGGCAGAAGAATCGCCTGAGACCAGGAGGTCGAGGCTGCGGTGGTTGTGAGTGTGCCACTGCACTCCAGTCTGGGCGACAGAGTGAGACTTCAATCAAACAAACAAACAAACAACGGCAACAATAATGACAACGGATTTTTATCAAAAACATACTAATACTACTAGGATGACCTCACATGCAGTTATCCCCTTCCTTCACTCAGTTGGCCAATCCTACAAGGTCCTTTAAAGCTAAGAAAACCGAGGAAAGTCCAGGATTTACACCACAACCCCTCCTGCTTTTCTGAACGAATGTTCTTCAAACCGTCTTAGTATTAATACCTTGCATTTATGCAGCCCTTATTTTGCCACGATCACTTCCTATGAACTACTTCTTCTCTAACCCAGAAGCCTCTGAGATGTATGACTCCAACCCCAACGAAAAGACACGACACGGGAACCAGGCCCGGAAAGCAACGTCACAAGGCAGACAGAGATCTGAGACTCGGATGCCCGCCTGGCCCCCAAACCCGGTCATTTGATTACCCACACTCCCCGACCCAGACCAGAGAGCGTCAGGTCACGGTAGACTCGGCAAAGGCCCGACTCCTAACTCCGCCGATGCCCCTTGTGACCCCAGGCATATCAGGTAGCCTCCCGGTACCTCAATTCGGTCAACTATTTAATGAGAACGACAACAGAGGGATACAGGAGAGACCGGAGGCTATGACCCAACGCCGATCTCCGCGCCGCTAGACTGGTCCCTCCTGTCTCAGGAGTTGCCTCCTCCGGGCACCCGCAGAAGCCCTGCCTCCCCCCAGCAGGCCCCCAGCCCGAGACCGGGACGGATGGCGGCGGATGGTAAAGCCCCGAACGCAGAAAACGCGCTCACCATGATGGCGCCTCCTCCTCAGCCAGGTCCGGAAAGGGAGAAGGGTGCCGGAGTGGGCGGGGAAAGACGCCAGTGAGTGGCGCTGCCGTGACGTCACAAGGGTGCGACGCGACGCTCTACCACGGTCCGGGCTTCTCTGTGGCGAGTCGGAGGACTGGCTAGATGGACGATATCAACAGGGCGAAGAAATAACCAAAGAGGAACAAGCGCAACGTCAAAGAGGAAAGGGCCAGCCCGTCGGGAGCCTCTCTAGCCCTACCCTGTTCTCTATCATTTTCCGGAAGAAGGACTCTGGTTGCGAGAGAGATGCGCGGAGCTAAGAGGACGCGTTTCACGGTGACGCTCTGGCCCGACGCCGACGGCCTCTCAGTGGCTCCTGGAGGACCCGGCAGGCCGATTGTTGGAGGTGAGGAGGCGGAGCTGGCGGGTTAGTTGAGGCCTCTTGGAATCTGACCCAACGCTTCGGGCGTGTTTCCGTACCAGGTTCACCTCTGCCTTATCTCGCGCTGCACTTCCTAGGCGCAGCCGCAGCTTGGGAAGTCCTACTTGAGGTGTAACCTGAGGTTTTCTTGCTGCAGCTCAATCTATAGCACCCTGCATTCCGACCTTTTTGGTTCAGCTTCTCCCTCTGTCCCCACATGGCCTTTCCCTGACCCCTCGTCAACCTCTGTCACCGGTGGGCTTCTTTTTCCAGCCAGAGAGGTTCAACTGACCCTGCAGTTTCCTTGAGAGGGATGGGCACGGTACTGGAGCTCCAAGAAGACACATTGAGACCCTTGCTTGGGGGCAGGGTGGAGACGGGTGATGGGCACAAATCTCCTGAAAGAGAAAGGAAGAGAGACCTAAGGGGGGGGGGAGACAGAGCTTCAGAGGGAAGGAAGATTGAGGACCCGGCGGGTGGGGGTGGAGGAAATGGAAGCGTCGGGGTAGGAAGGAGACCCAGGGCGGAGCAGAGACGTAGTAAGATGGGCAGGTGGAGCCTTGCAAGGCTTTAACCAAATTTAAATCCTGGCTCTGCTACTTAATAACGGTGCGACCCTGGGCAAGCCACTTAACCTCTTTGGGCCTTATTTTTCCTTATCTACAAAAAGGGAATGATAACAGGCCTGGCACACAGGAATTTTTCCAGGATTACATAAGTTAATAAAATTGCTTAGGTCAGCGCTTTGCACATAACAAGTGCTCAATACAAATTGGCCCTCACTCTTATTGTTAGCACTTAGTGGGTGCAACCAGATAGACTGGGTAGGGCAGTAATGAAACTGACCTGTCTATTTTTTCCTTTCTCAGGGAGGCACCTGCCTCTTGGGCCTCAGGCACACTGAGCCTGCTAGGGCCTCCTGCAGTCGGCTCTCCTCCACAGAGCCAAAGGCCAGGCCTGGACCGTGAGGCCGGACTCCTATCCCATACTACCCTCCCATGGCCTAAGATCCAGGCCCAGGGTCTTGTTGCTGTTACAGAGCAGAGGGCCGGCAGATGAATGGACACCTTGAAGCACCCGAGCAGCGGGACCAGGTAAGGGCCCATCTGAAAGCCAAGATCATCACGCTGTGGGAACACACCACCGGAGGTCCTTCCGTCAGTGATCTCAGACCTCCCAGGCAGGCGACTGTGAATAGCTTTCCCCTCATTTCCCAGACAGGGCAGCTGAGGCTAAGAATTCAGGGACTTCCCAGAGGTCACACAGCAAGTCTGTGTGAGCTGGAGGCCCTGTTCTGTTCTTTCTCCTCCTTCCTGTCCCATCCTTCGTCTCTGTGTTTGAGTCTCTGCCTTTCTTTCTTCTGGGGCCCCAAGCTCAGGTGCTGTGTTCCCCTGTCTCTTGGTCTTACTGAGTTTCTGTCCCCCTTTCTGCGTCATTCCTTGGCACATATTATCTGGCGCTGTTGCTGCTGTGGGCTGGATGGAAAGGGATCCGGGGATGGAAAGGTACATTGTTTGGCAATAAGGAAAGCTCTTCCTACACTTGTCCCTTTATAGCGAGCTCTGTCCCTGCCTCCTTCTGCGTATGTCTTTCCCTCTCTGCAATTCTACCTGTTTCTAGGTCTCCTGGTATCTTCTTGCCCTGCTTTCTTTCCATTTCATCCTGTCTTAGCCTCTGTGTGTCTCTCAGCATCTTCACTTTCTGTCTGCCTTGGTCTCAGGTCCTCTCAGCTTCTGGCCTTCCGATATTCTCCCTTCCCTCACCCCTGACCTAGAAGTCTCTCTCAGGTACTGTCCCATCTCTCTCTTTGTGTCTCTGCCCTGCCATATGACTGGGTCATTCACTGGACAGATGTTTATCTCATGCTGCCTCACTCTAGTTTGAGCCCATGGTAAATAATTTGTGAATTAATGAGCCTCTCCTCCCTGGTTTTCATTCCAGAAGTGTCTGTCATTTCCTGGGCTTTCTTGGGTCCTTTCCTTGCACATTCTCAATCTCCCTGTTTTGGTCTCTTTGTTTATATCTCTGTTTTTCTCTGTGTCACTCTGACTCTGTAACTATCTGAAGCACAACCATCTCTCCCCACTCTCCCTCTCCCCTCAACTCTCTTATTGCCTCTGGTCTTTCTTCTCTGGGTCTGTGCTGTGCTCTGTGCCTGGGTCTCTATCTTTTACTAACTCTCCTTGCATGTCTCTGGGCCTTTGTTACATATATTTGAGTCTCTGTCTCCGCTACCAAACTACCTCCCCCACGCCCCTTTTCGTTCTGGAATTCAATGGATGGGACAGGCCCACTTGCCCTCAGCAAAGATGGCGACAGAGGCGCTGCCTACGGGGCCGCGGCGCCGCCTCTGCTGCGCGTTTGCCCTCACTTACGATGGCGGCCGGGCTCTCGAAAGGCGATGCCCCGCCCCGTTCTCGGGCCGTCCCGCGGCCGGCCCCTGCGCCAAGCTCGCGAGTTGGCTGGCCCCGCCCCTCGCGCCCTCTCATTGGTGCGACTCAGGCCAGTCGTGCGGCCATTGGCTGAGCGGATGCACACCCTCCCCCCACCCCTAGGTCTGATGGGGGCGGTTGGTGCTGACTTGAGGGGCCGCCTGGAGGAGCACCCGGCGTGTGAGGAGGGTGCGGGGGTCGGGGCAGGGCCCAGAGTCTGGGGGACTGAAGGACAAGAGGAGCAGAGACGCAGGCCCGGGATTGGGGGTCCGCGGTGGGGGATGGACGTGGAAAAGCCGGACCGGGACTAAGGGATCCGGGGATGGAAAGCCAGGCCTGGGACTGGGCTCCGGAAACAGAGTGGGGATGGCGGCTCGGGGCCGAGGGACCTGGGGATGGAGACTCGGGCCTGTGGCTTGGGGACCAATGGATGGAGACCCAGGCCCGGGACTGGAGGGCATCTGTGGCTCCGAGCTTGAGCCGGACTTGAGGATCCCATGAGGGGGCCAGTGCAGCTTTGGGGGTGAGGCAGACACCCTGGGCCCGAGGGAGCTGCCCAGGGCAGGAGGGCAGAGGTAGCTCCTGAGGGTGAGTCCAGAGACGGGGGTGTGTCCTGCCGCTCTGGGCCTGGGCAAGGTGACGGGCAGGACTGGCAGGTGGTGGGCGGGGCAGTGAGGAACAAAGGTGAGCAGAGAGGAGGAGGACGAGGAGGCAGAAGCTGGGCAGAGAGCAAGGGGAGGGCCTCTGGGGAAGGGACCTCAGTCCCGGCTCCCACCCCCTCCCCGGAGAGCAGGCGGCCAGACACCCAGGTCAGTGCTCGGGGACCAGCTCTTGGCCCCTGCCTTTTGCAGGTGCCCGCATGTGGCTCCTCTCAGACCCCTTAGTCCCCCTGTGTCACACCCGTTCCTCCAGCTATCCACGTGCCTGCCTCCTGTCTCTCTCCTGTCTGCTCTTCTAACTCTGCCTGTTGCTGTTACTGTTACTCTCCTCTCTACTTTTCATCAAGTTTCAACTCACTGACGCTGTTTGTCTTCTGCAGTGTTTCTCTGGCTCTCAGTCCTTCTTGCTCTATTGTTTGTGCCTGAGTGTTTCCTTTATTACTCTTGCACCTGGAGATGACTCTGCATGGGGGGTGTCTTTCTCAATCTGTGTGTGTCTGTATATGTCGGTGTGTCTACAATCCGATCTCCTCCTATGCCTTGTTTTTCCTCAAAGTCTTTATCACTATATATATCACCCAACACACTGTATAATTTACTCCTTTATCTTGCTTTTTCCGTTTTCTGCTTAGAACACAAACCCCAAGAAGGCAGGGAATCTGTTCCTGTTTGGTTCCCTGCTGAGTTTGCTGGGCCTGGCACCATGGTCAGCAGCTAGAGGAGACTGAGTAATTCTCTAGGGAATATGTGGATGGGTGTTTGCATGCCTGGGTCTCTGGGCCTTTCAGGATGCTGGCCTCTCTGCCCAGCTGACTTCTGCCCCACATCCTCAAGGGCTCTCCACGCTTGTCTGAGCCTGTCTGTCTCTGGTGCTCCTGTCTCACCTGCCACCGCCCCTCGTCGTCTCCTCCTGTCCACAAGCCCTGCCCCTCCCTCCACCTGCCATGGGGTCTTAGACTCTGACTCCCACCCTCCTCCTCTCTTCTCACAGAGGCCGGACCAGGAGCTGACCGGGAGCTGGGGCCACGGGCCTAGGAGCACCCTGGACAGGGCTGAGGCCATGGCCCCGCCACCACCGCCCCTGGCTGCCAGCACCCCGCTCCTACACGGCGAGTTTGGCTCCTACCCAGCCCGTGGCCCACGCTTCGCTCTCACCCTCACATCGCAAGCCCTGCACATACAGCGGTTGCGCCCCAAACCTGATGCCAGGCCCCGGGGTGGCCTGGTCCCGCTGGCTGAGGTCTCAGGCTGCTGCACCCTGCGAAGCCGCAGCCCCTCAGACTCTGCAGCCTATTTCTGCATCTACACCTACCCTCGGGGCCGGCGCGGGGGCCGGCGCAGAGCCACCCGCACCTTCCGTGCAGATGGGGCAGCCACCTACGAGGAGAACCGTGCTGAGGCCCAGCGCTGGGCCACGGCCCTCACGTGCCTGCTCCGAGGACTGCCGCTGCCTGGGGATGGGGGTGAGGCGCTGGGCAGCCACTCCGTCCTAGGGCCACCTTGGTGTCTCTGCAGAACTTCCTCCGTGGGCATCTCTGTCTCTGTTTTTCTGTGTGTCTGTCTTTGTGATGTGTCTTTCTGGGTCCATCGAAAGAGTGATACACAGACAGGGCTGGGCTGCAGAAGGAACAAAAAAAACATAGAGAACAAAGATTTACATCTGCTGCTCTCTTGCTAGCTTTCCGTCTCTGTCCCTACCCCCTTCCGTGGGTCTTGACCACAGGTGAGTCAGAGGCTCCTGGGCTGGGGAGCAGCAGACTGACACATGACCAGCCACCACCCAGAGTGATATGTGCCAACAGAGGTCTTCCTGGGTCAACCCAGGAGCCCAAAGGTGGCATCTCACCCAGCCTGTGCAGTGTCAGAGGTTACTTTTGGGCAGAGTCCCAGTCCCGACAGGGTCCTCAATTGGTGCAGGAAGGCAGAGCTTCGAGACTCCCCATCCGGTGAGCATTCCTTGGTCCAACAGTCATGCTGGCTGATTGGGGACTCTACTGGATGGTGACAGTGAGGGAGCCTGCACAGTGGAGTAACTTGATCCCAGGTAGCAGGTGCTCAGGATGAGGAAAGTGGGAACCGCAGCTCCCACACGTGGGTCCAAAGGGCACTTGGTTTCACATCCAAGCTCTGCCTTTGTGTCAACACCTGGGAGGTGGAGCAGGGCGGCATACCTGGGCTTGGTCAGTGAGGGCTGGGAGCAGAAATCTCCCTGCAGGCTCCAGGTACCGGCCCTGCCCCAGTTCTGCAGGGGGCTGTTAGAAAGGACTGTTCCCAGGGTGAGGGCCCTGGGTCTCTGGCCTGTCTCTGACCCTGCCCTCTCTCTGCAGAGATCACCCCTGAGCTTCTGCCACGGCCGCCCCGGCTGCTCCTATTGGTCAATCCCTTTGGGGGGCGGGGCCTGGCCTGGCAGTGGTGTAAGAACCACGTGCTACCCATGATCTCGGAAGCCGGGTTGTCCTTCAACCTCATCCAGACAGGTAAGGTTGAGCCAGGATAGGAGGTGGGGGTGAAGGCTGGGATTCCTGGGTCCCGGGGTGGGACAGCCTGTCTAACCACCTGGTTTCCCACTTTAGAACGACAGAACCATGCCCGGGAGCTGGTGCAGGGGCTGAGCCTGAGTGAGTGGGACGGCATTGTCACGGTCTCAGGAGATGGGCTGCTCTATGAGGTAGGGCAGGAGCACCCTGCCCCTGGTCCCGGGCCCTGGGGGACTGCAGAGGCTGGGACCAGCTCCCAGGTATTGGGTCTCCCACCCTTCAGGTGCTGAACGGGCTCCTGGATCGTCCAGACTGGGAGGAAGCTGTGAAGATGCCCGTGGGCATCCTCCCCTGTGGCTCAGGCAATGCGCTGGCCGGAGCAGTGAACCAGCATGGGGGGTAGGTTGGGCGCTCCCACTGGGGAGGTTGAGGATACCATGAGGGGACGGGCCCCTGTTCTCCCCCTCAGCCATAACCACTGTTGGTCAAGTAAATCAGTCCAGCTGTGGGATACCCCGTCCCCACTCCTGGACATTTTTACCTGCCTCATTCCCAGCTGTATCCCCAGAGCTTAGAACTGTGCCTGGTACAGAAGGCATTCAATTAATGCTTGTTAGAACTGACAAGGAGCTGGGCACAGTGGCTCACGCCTGTGATCCCAGCACTTTAGGAGGCAGAGGTGAGAGGATTGCCTGAGCCCAGGGCTTTGAGACTAGCCTGGGCAACTTGGCAAGATTTTTGATAAAAATCAACTTTTGGTAAAAAAATCAAAATTAGGTGAGCATTGTGCATGCCTGTAGTTCTAGCTACTTGGAAGGCTGAGGCGGAAGGATTGCCAGAGCCCAGCAGGTCGAGGCTGCAGTGGCCGGGAGCGGCCACTGCACTCCAGTCTGGGCGATGGAGTGAAACTCTGACTTAAAAAAAAAACTGACAGGGAACCTGGCCCAGTAAGAAGAGTCTGTCTGGAGGTGGCCACATGGCTGCTACTGGCTCAGAGCCTGGCCTCCTTGGCCTCGGTGCCGCCTGGTGCCCAGCCCTGAGTCTCTCATCTCTCACCCAAGCCCATTTGCTCTTTCCCCCGTGTGTCCATCCACCTCTGGCTGTGAAGGTTTGAGCCGGCCCTGGGCCTCGACCTGCTGCTCAACTGTTCATTGCTGCTGTGCCGGGGTGGCGGCCACCCGCTGGACCTGCTCTCAGTGACACTGGCCTCAGGCTCCCGCTGTTTCTCCTTCCTGTCTGTGGCCTGGGGCTTCGTGTCTGACGTGGACATCCAGAGTGAGCGCTTCAGGGCCCTAGGCAGCGCCCGCTTCACGCTGGGCACAGTACTGGGCCTCGCCTCACTGCACACCTACCGCGGACGTCTCTCCTACCTCCCTGCCACTATGGAGCCTGCCTCGCCCACCCCTGCCCATGGGCTGCCCCGTGCCAAGTCAGAGCTGACCCTGACTCCAGACCCAGCCCCACCCATGGCCCACTCGCCCCTGCATCGCTCAGTGTCTGACCTGCCCCTACCTTTGCCTCAGCCTTCCCTGGCCTCCCCTGGCTCGCCTGAACCCCTTCCCAACCTGTCCCTCAACGGAGGGTGCCCCGAGCTGGCCAGGGACTGGGGTGGTCCTAACCAGAAACATGAAAGACCTTTACAATGAAAACTACAAAACACTGCTCCAAGAAATCAAAGATGACACAAGCAAATGGAAAAATATTCATGGATTGGA